TTAAAATAATTTTTTTCTTTCTTTAATTCTTCTACATTAATAGATAAAGATGCAACAGATTTCTTCAACACATTATTTTTGGCACAAACTTTTCTAAATTCATCTTGTAGTTCATAGAATGCACTTTCAAGTTCTTCATAAAGAGTAGTTACCTCATCTTGAGTAGAGTCTTCATCTTCAAGAGCCATGAGACATAAGTTGGCTACTTTATTTTCAATTTCATCACTTGAGCTTTCATCTTCACTTTCTCCCCAAGCTGCTATCATGGCCTTTTTGTTTCTTTTGTAGTCTTTTCCATGATTCTTCAATTTTGAACAATCCATCTTCATATGTCCAGGATTTATACACTCATAGCAAATAATAGGCTCTTTTTTGTTATCTTTGTTGTATTCTTTCTTGAAAGGTCTTCTTCCTCCATAATTATTTTTCTTGAAGTGCTTTTTGAGATTTCTACTAAACATGACATAGCTTTCATCCTCACTGAAGTTTTCATGTTTTTCTTCATTTGATGAGGCTTTGAATGCAATTCCACTTTTCTTTTTGTTTCAATCATCCTCATGTTCTTTCATGGTGATCTCATGAGTCACAAGGGAACCCATAAACTCATCCAATCCAAGTGTGGAGAGATTTTTGACTTCTATAATGGCCGTGACCTTTGCTTCCCAATTCTTTGGTAAACACCTAAGAATTTTTCTTACCAACTCACTGTTAGTATAAGTTTTACTGAGAGATTTCAAAAAGTTTACAATTTTAGTAAATCTAGTAAACATACTTGAAATAGATTCATCAGAGTTCATTTTAAACAATTCACAACTATGAACAAGTATATCAATACGGGGTTCCTTCACTTGGTTTGTACCTTTATACGTTACCTCAAGTTTGTCCCAAATTTCTTTTGCCGAATCACAACTTGAAATTCTATTATACTTCTTAGAGTCTAATCCACAAACAAGGGTGAGTTTAGCTTTAGCATTGGCTTGCAATAATTTATGATCCCTCTCATCACATTCATATTCAGTTTTAGGTACACTAATATTGTCTACTAATTTGGTAGGAATTTTTGGACCTTCAGTGACAATAATCCACATTGCATAATCAGTTGCTTGTAGGTATAATGTCATCTTATCTTTCCAATGACTATAGTTGTTTCCGTCAAGCAATGGTGGCCTATTTGTGGCTTGTCCTTCAGTTGAGGTTGCCATGGATTGAAACTCCTAGATGGTTAATTCTAAAACAAGAGTCTAGGCTCTGAAGCGAATTGTTACCCAAAAGACAACCTAAGAGGGGGGGTGAATTAGGTTTTTACAATTAAAAATAATAATACCCTAATAAAAATTATGACTAGCATAATAGATAAGTATAGTTAATGAAATAAAAATAATAAAAACAAGTGTTCTAACAACTATGTCAATTAATGATTTTAGCACAATAAAAATATGAAATATAGCTATGACAATTTAAATAAAATAAAGAGATAAGGGAGAGAGAGGCAAACAAATTTATAGTGGTTCGGTTTCAACTCGGCCTACGTCCACTCCTCAAGCTTCACTTGAGATTTTTCACTATTCTCTAGTTTCACAGGGTGCCAGTAACCTTTTCACATATGGAGCAATCCTCCACGGATTTTACACAGACTTTCTAAGTCCAAAAAAAAAAAAACTGAGAGTACTACACTCTTACAGGATTGAAAAGAATGTGTTTTTGCTTTCACAAAAAGTTACAAAAATTATCTCTCAAAAATAGATATAAAAATGAGACTCTGATTTTTCTGTAAGCATGACACAGGAAAGATGGGTTTAAAGCTATACGACTTAATGTATAATTTTTGAGAGAAGATGTAAACAAAAATTGAAGAACACTTCTCAGAAAATTTTTCAGAGAATAGATGAGAGTGATTTTAGATCAAAGAATATTTTCTGGTTTTTGTAACTTGTTTGTAGTTTCTGTAACTTGTTCACATCAGAGGTTTTGGTATATATAATAAAACTTATAGTCGTTTATAGTCGTTGTATTCATTTGAATTTATACCCGTTTATAGCCGTTGTATTCATTTGAATATCTTCCATTCAATCATTACTAATTTGAATGTCTTCCACTCCATCATTACTAATTTGAATATCTTTCACTTGAACCTTTTGAACCTTTTGAACTGCTGTTGTGCCGAGCTGTTTGAACCTCTGTTTTTGGGCTGTTTGAACTTCTGATTTAATCAAATATTAAATACATTCTAACAACATTTAGGATAAAGGTTTAGGTGAGAAATAATGGGATTAAATAAATTTTGATTCGATTTTTCTCTTTCAAATAAATTAAAATATAATTAAATAAATCATCAAAATAAATAAGTCTAATAGGTATTTTGATAACTATGTCATTCATAGGACTTATTGAAATATAAGAAAATAATTTAGACAAAGTGGAATATAAGGCGAAGAAGGATTTATGAATAAATACTCCATAAAAATTACAAAGCTGCTACAGGGCCCGAAATCCCAACGGCTCGAATGGCTCGAAATGGTTTCCCTCCGAAATTTTGATGCACGTGGAGCTCACTGAGATTAATTCAGTCCTTTGTCCTAGATGCTGCTACAAGAAGCCACATTCTACAAACCTCTCTCTCTCTCCACCACCAGAATGGCAGGCGCCGCAGCACCGCCACTGACCCCAGCCCCAACACCCACTACCACATTACCAGAAAACCACCCAATCGGCCACCCACTCTTCACCAGAATCCGCCTCGCAACCAAATCAGACATCCCCCACATCCACAAGCTCATAACCTCCTCGCCTTCGAGCGACTCGGCTACCACTGCTCTGCCACCGAGTCCTCCCTGTCCTCCTTCCTCTTCCGCAACAATGCCAACCCCTCCTCTCCTTTTCACTCCATTGGAGGAAACAAAAGGCATCTTTTACAGTTGTCCCCACGTGGGCCCACCACCAACCATTCAACCGTTAACTACCATTCTCGCTCTTCCACCCTATCTCCAAATCTCTCAATTTCGACCTCCCCATCACCGACCCAGAATCCCATCTCTTCAAATCTTTCGAAACCGACTCCATCGTTGTTGGGTTTGTGCTCTTCTTCCCAAACTACTCAACATTCCTTGCCAAACTAGGGTCCTATATCAAAGACCTGTTCGTGAGGGAGTGTTATAGGAGCAAAGGGTTCGGGAAGATAAGGCGAGAGAGGTGAGAGGCGTGGGTCAAGAAAAGGAGGAAAATAAAAAATAAAATGAAACCCAAAACGACGTCGTTTTGGGTTTCGAGCCAATTCGAGCCAACAAGATTTCGAGCCCTCAAACATTTTCGATAAAAATTATTGAATTTTAAAATTTTAAATTTGTCAAAAAAGTGAATGGAAATTTCATTGACATTACTTAAGGCCTCGTTTGGAAACCCTTATTTTTAGTCAAAAAGTCAAAAAGTTACTAAATTAGCCAAAAAACCAACAACTCATACCAAAAAGTCAAATATTCTCTTTTCTCTCTACTTTTTGCACATCTTTTCGTAAAAAGCCAAAAAGTCATCCCAAACATACTAATTTTTTTTAACTCATATTTTAGCCAAATAGCCAAAAAGTTACTAAATTAGCCTATTCCCAAACGAGACCTAAGGCTCAATTTGATTAGATAGATATAGAAAAGTGAAAGAAAAAGGAAAAGAAAAATATATGTGTTTAGATAGAGAGTCATATAAACTAATGGAAACTAAAATTTATTGTATAATTCAAATTTACTTGTTAGTTAAGTTAACAATTTCCTGCAAAATATGGAGGGAAATTTATTTTTTCTCACAAATCTTTCTTTTTTACCTATGTTTTGCTCTACAACTCCTTGTTATACTGTGATTATATTTTTTCTCATAATTTTTTTGCAAAATTTTTTTTCTATAAATGCATGCAAAAAAATAAATTTTTATTTATTTATTTTTTTACTTTTACTTTCTATCATTTTTATTTTTTATCACGTATATTTTTTTTTTAAAGCAAACGGAGCCGAGCCATAGTGAATTTTCACTTCGTCAAACAGTTCCTAGAAATAGTCGCCGAGAATGGGTCCATTGGTAATGAGTAGTGGTCACGAAAAAATTGTCACCTGTTGCAGGTTGGTCGATTAAATTATTTAATTTAAAATAATAAAAATTAAAATAAAACTTGAGTTAAATTTTAAGGTTTAAAGTATAATTTAGGCCCCGTTTGTCAAAAATCAATGAAAATAAAATAGATTAAAATAATTAATAAGATAAAATATTATATTCAACTCATAATTATTTGGGAAGTTATTTGTTGGTCCTAAATATAGTCTCGTGATGTCTCACGTGTGTTCTAATTGGTGGAAAAAGTAGGATCTACGATTTTGTATCAGGTGACTAGAGAATAAAAGAGAGCATAGAGGGGCATGAAGGTTTGTGATTGACCATGGCCACGTGCCTCAAGACCAACAAATAATTTTTCAAATTATTTCACTTTTTTTTTTTCTTTTTATAATCATCAAATCAATTATAAAAAAAAATTAACTATCTTCTCAAATATAACTTTTTTAATTAAGTTAAAATAATTAAAAAATTAAAAAATCAATAATTAAAATATCCAACTTTCCAAATAAGGCCTTACTTCAAATTATTTTTATTATTCTAACTTGGCCAAGTTTGACTAAACTAAAAAAGTACACTTATTTTATTTTTTTATCTTTTTTAAGTCACATCAATCAACATCTTCTCTTTATTTTTTTTATACATAATACAAAAAAAATAAAAAAATATACTTATTTAATCTTCCCAAACTTGATCTTATTTCGTAGAACATCGTAAAGTCTTTAATGAATTCTGAGTTTTTAAATAATCGATTTCTTTTGTTCGGAAAGTCTTGATATACTTTTGGTGGAGCTGATTTGGCACTCTACAATTGGAGGAAACAAAAGGCAGGCTTTACAGTTGTCCCCACGTGGGCCCACCACCAACCATTCAACCGTTAACTACCATTCTTTTCACAAGAAAGCGCGGGACAGGCAGAGAGAGAGAGAGAAAGAGAGAGAGTCATGAAGCTCAAACCTCAACAACCCTTCACCTGTCAACCATTTCCATGGAATCGCATGGACCCGTCATCTCTCTCCCGCCGATCTCACTCTCCTGACTCTGCCGATGTTGCTCAAAGGCAAGATCAAGCTCCCGGAGAAAGCCCGGCGAGTATTTCCCGACCACCTCGGGAGCCTAGTCGCCGGATTCGAAGACAGGGAACAAGAAATCGAAATCGAGGTTTCTGATTCAAACTTCGAGCCCGGCGAAGAGCTCGAGACTTTTCAGCCCAATGTTTTGGCATCGGACCGAGAAATCGATAAAATTGATGACTACGAGATAGATAATGGCAAGTACTCTGATGGTGAATCGGACCTAAGCAAGGTCAGACCGAAGCCTGAGAAAGATGTGGCAGCTTCTGTTTCTGTTAAGGAAATCATCGTTGCCGACGAGAAAAGGTCGGATCTTGAGTACGAGGTTAGTATTAGTTCGAGTTTGTTTCAATGTGCTTTGAAACTTCAAGATTAACTTTCAAATTAAAACAGTGCATTTCTATGATTTTTGATGCTTTATGATTCAATTTCAGTAGTTTCACCCTTTGTTTGGTTTACTGAGAAAATTGAGGTAGAGAAAGCATTAATGCGCTTTGACGTCATTTTTTGTTAACAAAATATTTTTTAAAAAAATCACTCATTTTAATTTTTTTAAATAAGTATATTAATTCACTAAAATGCTATAAATGATATTTTATTAAATCAAAATTTAAATATCAATCAAATGTTAAAAAATTAAAATAATTTTTTTTAATTATAAAATATTTTACGTCAAAACACCCTAAATGTAAAAAACCCATATTTGTAGTTTGGCTCAGTTGACTGGATTTCATAGGGATGAAAAATCTAGGGTTAAAAGATTTTTATTTCTCTCCAGTATCTTGGCTACCAAATGGTGTGTTAGTGCATTGAGATTTTGCTTTTGTTTTTGAATTTGTTTCCATGTGTCATGAAATTTCAAGATTGAGTTTCAAAATCGTTGGTTTAGGATTCAATATTAAAAATATTCAGTTTAGTTTTACCCATCTACTGAGAAAATCAGGGAAAGTAAGCCCCAAAATTGCCAAGCCCACCTTCATCTTCAGGCTCAGTTGACTGGGTTCCATAGTGATGAGAAATCTAGGGCTAAATATATATATACACATCTGGTGGATGCAAACACAATGCCTTTGCAGTTTTGCATTTAAACTTTTAAATGACTTGCAATTGAGGGGCGGTCTGTTGAATGAGTAAAACATTTAGAAAGTTATTGGATGTATCGGTTATTTGATGTCAAGGGCATTCTAGAAAGAACAAAAAAAAATGACAGTGTTCACACCAAATAGAGTGTACATTTTATATAATAGAATAGATATTTTGGTACATTAGGAATAAAGATTATTGTTTATTTTATTTTTCTCTACTTTCTTGGCTACCTAATGGTGACCTTGTAGTAGTGTATTGGGGTTTCAGTTTTGTTTTTGTAGTCTTTTAGTTGTGATTGTTAGATTTTGAATTTGTTTTGTGGAAATGTTGCATTGATTAGCTTTCCCAAAAGGAGATAAATTTGGAAAAGTTGCAAAGAGTTGCTAGTTCGGGGCTTCCCGATGGAGGAGGTTTGCGGGCAACAGCTTGGAAGGTTAGGGTTCTCTTCTGGAATTAACTTTGTTTTGTAATTAATATTTTCAATATGGTTTTTACCACTTTGATTGAAAATGGATTTTTATTTATTTCTTTATTTATTTTTGAATGTGCAAGGCATATAGTTCTATATACACAGTGGTTCTCATTTATAGACATAGTCTGAATGTAGAATGAAACCTGATCGTAATTGGTTTTACATTCAAGTTGGTTGGAAAGTTTAGTTTCTTGATATTGATAAGGCCACACTATCAATATTTGAATAACTAACCAGGCCACCTCAGCCTTTATTGTAGTCCAAGAGTAGATGGGTACGGCATCAATTACAACTTATTTGGTGCATTGTAATAGCTCAACAAGATGCATCAAAATGATGTGGAAAACAGGCAGGGAAAACAACGAAGGAAAATTTGTTGAGAAGTTCATTTTTAAGGGGTGTATAGCATTCAGTCAGAAACTTCTCTTAAGGTTTTTATTGATGATGTTAACATTTTTTTTTCCTTACGATAAAGTAACAGGAGTGAATTTATAATAGAAACCTAAACTTCAGGGAGGTTTCTGTCATTTCAAAAATCTCAAGGGAGGTTTTTCTACCATTTCATTAAACTTCAAGGGAAATTAGTGTAATTCGAAACTAAACCTTAAAGAGAAGTTTCTGTCATTTTAACAATTTCATTAAACCTTAGGGGATGTTAGTGTGATTGAAAATAAAACCTCAAGAGAGGTTTAAGTCATTTTGGAAACTTCGGGGAAGGTTGTTTCAAATTTACTACCTCAGAAGATACTTGGAATTTCCTTCAAAAAGTAATTTATTAAATAAATAATTTCTATGTTTCAGCCTTCCGCATAAAGTAGCAGCAGGGTTTCATGAGCCTTAGTAATTGGCTGAATTGAATTAACTGAAGACGGCAATGATTTGAAGTATGAATGTTGCTTGCATTGTCTAAGATTTAATTGTTGAGATAAAAATATTCTGCAACTAGATTAGCTTATGAAATGAGGCCAATTTTCCCAAACAGTTTTGTTTGAGATTCTTTTTTAGTTTCCTGGAAAGAGCATTGATAAAGAAGTAGAGAAATAACGGTTCAAATCATCCATAGGCTAATGCAACCGTAGAACTTCATATCAGCATCGCTTGTTGCTTCCATTGGCTCTGTAACCATGCATATATCATTTCTTAACCACAACGATGTTCCCTGCTCTGCTTCATGATTTGCATATTCATCAAAACATGTCTTTCAAATACTCCGATATCAATTTAACAGTAACCATGTGAGCTCCTTTACAATATTTGTTGTTTATGTGTAAGCTCAGAAAAGATTGAGTCCTCCGGCTCATGGCACAACTGAGCCAAGGAGTTTTTAGCTCTATTTGGAACATGGCATGCCTCTATGAATAATTCTAGAGCAGTATGCTACTGACCTGTCACACATAGTATGTGGTAAATCAAACTTATATTGTCCAAATTCTGTTTTAACCAATATATTAGGGGGATTTAACGTTAGAAATTAAATCCTTAAAAATGCAATAAGCTGTTTTTAGTAGCAAAGTGTTTAGTGATTCGCTTTCCCTGATATGCAAATTCCTAGAGGCCAAGGAGCGATAATCTTGTAATTGTGAAGAAGTCAAAGCTGAAGCACTTTGAAATTCCGAACAGTTTTGTCATTCAGGCAAGCCTCAGTTATTCTTTCATGTTATGTTATGTGCACATTAGGGAACCCACTTGGAAGCCATATCAAAGCACCAAGGTAATCGAAGCGCAACTTAGAACTTATTTCGTATTTTTGGTTTCGAGGAGCGTTCAGGATTAGCCTTGTGGACCATCGTACATGTACCGGTAACCCAGGATTCCAAGCTTCTTTACACTTGCATATAGGTTAGTTTTTTGGTTCAATCATTAGGTCCACCTCATTTATGAGGCATATGCTACATGGATTCGGGTATGGGTGTGGGTATGTATCTAGAGGTCGGACTCATCAAATTATAAATTTAAAGGTACTCGGACTCAGCAAAAAAGTGTCATATTTTTATTTTTTTAATCATGTATATGAGATAAAATGGTACTATATGTAATTTACAGTGTCAAAAAGACATTTATAGTATTTGTGCGACAATAGGTACATATAATAATGGTGTTGAAAACAATTATATAAGAGGTGTTCGATGAAAAGTATCCGACTCATATCTCATTCCCTTGTCCCAGTGTCGGGTGTTCGACATGGGTATTTGATTTATTTTGAAGAGTCCTGTAACACAAACTCACATAGCCTGCATCAGTAACAGTTATTGTAGAAGAAAACAATAGGTACAAATCTTATTCATCTGTCAACCCACATGTAGAATTGAAAAAAAAAAAGGAAAATGCTAGAGGTCCCAATTTTTTTACCAAATAAATGACCAAATATCTCACATGGATGCACATTTGTGGACCCCACACCAATGTGAGAAATGTGGACTCCACACCATGTGAGACATTTGGTCATTTATTTGGTAGAAAATTTGGTATCCCTAGCATTACCCAAAAATATATATATCTGAATCTTGAAAAGCTACAAGTTGTTATATGATGCTACAGTGAAAAAGACTTCAGCAAGTTAGTTTCAAACGAGGATCAGTTCAGTTGGCTTCCCAGTGACTGTTAAGTCACCAACTTCCCAAAAACTTAAGCTAATAGGTTATGGGCCAAACAATGTATATGATGCTATTCAACACCCTTCCTCATGCGCAAACCATTTCTTGCACATAGAGAGACAAAGAGAGAACCAAACAGAAAGAATGTTGGAAATTCGTGGTGGGTTAGACACATCTCAAATCACAATGTGGGAGAGAAGTGAATAGGAAGAGAACACTTTGTAATTTTCATTTCACTAAATCATAGGTTACTACATCATACTCCATCTCAATTCCTATTTCACTCTTTTTCACTTATCTACTTAATCCCTAAGGTACATGGGTATTCATAGGATCCAAAGAACATGAACCAAGACATTAATGAGTCATAACCCTTCATCTACGTACATTGACCATTATTTAACTACATACATGAACATGAACCACTTCATGCATGTATCATGTATGTCTAGACATTTAATTATCTAAATCAAGTTTACTTCTCAACATTCCCCCTTAAACTTGATTTTGCATTGAAGTCCTTGTGCTACAAAAAAGCTTCGTGGTTGATCAGTTTCAAAGCAACATTTCTGGTACTATTTTCAAATCCATCATCTTCAATAGCAATTCGCAGCCATCACCATGGATATATAAACTTTGAATTTGAATTTTTTAAAAACACTCTTGCATTTCTTCCTTACATGCTTGTGCAATGCCTTCAAATGAGGAGCTTCTAATTTTTTCTTCACGCGAGCATTCCACAAGCCTTCATTCTTGAATTTGTAATGGTTCTTGAATTCTGCATTTGCTTGCTCTTGGGGATCAAAAAATTCTTCCATATTTACCCAATTCATGTCAAAAGTTGTATTCTCCAAACTAATTTGTGAATAACAACTTCTAAAATTCCATCCCCTTGATATTTTCTATCACACTTTAATGAAACAGCTCCATCACCACTAAAATCATAAGGTTCAATGACAAATGCCAAAATGCCCTCCAAAATATGCCGCAGCAGTTGGTATTTTGAGCATCTTCTTCATATGATATCGGATTGAGATGAGGTTCAATGATAATCATAAGGTTCATAATTTATTCATTTCAAGTCCAAACGATGCAAATCTTGTGTCTAAATTGAAGCTTTACAAGTCTAGTTTCAGATGGAATTAGTCTCATGTCAAAATTCATAGCATGGAGGCAGATATCAATAAAATATTTAGATGTAATGCATGTGTTCAACAACTAGCCACCAAATTTGACTTCTTAAATCTTTCATTTTCAACCATGAGTGGTTGTATTTATGAGCAAATCTCTAAATATTTGAGTAGGAAAGACTTTGTAAATGTATTTGGATTGATAAATAGAGAAGTTGGGTTGATCAAAGAAAAAAACAACTCCTAATATGATCATCAAAAAAATTCATATACCGAAACTCTAGGCATGGACTATCTTCAGTTAGTACGAACCGTCTTACGTTAAAACTACTGTTGTAGGAATGGTCCAGCTTCCCTAAGCATGGTAAGTATTTCTGCTTGTCATGTGGGTGACTTGAGTTCAATCCTGGCAACGCTGCCAAAAATTGATTGTTCAAAAACTAGTAACCCATAACTATGCAAAATAAAGAATATTGTAGAACGGGTACGGGTGTCATACCACAGTGATTGTATTAGCTAAAGTGTTTAAAATCGAAATTTATTTTCATTTGATCAAAGAAGGTTGATGATATGGACTTAATGGAAATGACAATTAAGTATAAAATAATGATGGAGTTTGGTTGAGGAAAATTCCATAGGATGTTCAAATCCACCAATACTCACGTAACACGAGGTAATTGTAACCGTTCTTGGAAGATTAATTAGTGAATAATTATGATATATTATGACTACAAGTCCTAATATGATCATTAAAATATTCATATATTGAGACTCTAAACATAGACCATCTTCAGTTGGTACGAACCATTTTATGCTAAAATTACTAAAATTACTGCCGTAGGAGCGGTTTGTCTTTCCTAAGCATGGTCTATCTTAGGATCTCAATATATGTACATATAAAACTATTGCATAACCATGCATTTGAAATCACAGAAATCAAACACAAGAAGTAAGATTAATTTTTACATATAGAAAAATCTTTAAATGTTATGCAATTATTATCCAAGCATAATACAACCCAAGAATTAATTACAAAGCTTCAATCATTCCTTGAGTAGGGCTTCATCTAAGCCCTAATAATGAGAAGTTAATATACACATGATTGAGGAAATTTCCATAACTATCTTAGAAGAAAGCTTGGAAGAAAATTTTCTCCTTATCTTATTTTCTACTACTCATCTCCACTTCTCTTCTTTTTCTGATTAACACAACTTCTCTATTTATAGAGAACATACGTGTACAAAATCTTTTTTCTCCTAATATTTAGGGATTTTCTCATAAATACAACCATTCATGGTTGAAAATGGAAGATTTGGGAAGTCAAATTTGGTGGCTAGTTATTGAACATATGAGTTATGTCTGATCTTTTATTCATATTTCTCCATGCTACGAATTTTGACATGAGGCTAGTTTCATCTGAAATTAGACTTTTAGGGCTTCAATTTAGACACAAGATTTGCATCGTTTGGACATGAAATGAATAAGATATGATTTTTCAAGTTTGATGCATGTAATCTGTCCTTAATGCAATTCTTTTCTCTGAATATGTTGTCATTTTTGACCTCCAACATGGCTGAATTGAGAAAATATTGTGAAACAATAATTTGTATCCCTTTAAGTTAGCTTTTTAATGACACTTGAATCAGCTCAATCGTATATTGTATGAAGAAGATATGCTCAAAATACCAACTGTAGTGCAGAGAAACTTCCAACTCGAAAATTTAAGATTTTGTTCTTAAATTTGATTGGGTAATCCTTTCTTCCAAAAGCCCATGTAAGCTTTGTAAAAATCATCCTACTCATATCATTTGAGTGTAAAGACTTGGAAAACCTACAAATCCATAATGAAGGAGAGCCATGGTGGGTTAGACATGTAGTAGCTTTGATACCACTTTGTTGCCAATACGGGGTGGGTTAGACACACCTCTAATCACGATGAGGGAGAGAAGAGAAGTGAATAGGAAGAGAACAATTTGTAATTTTCATTTCACAAAATTATAGGTTGCTACACCATACTCAATCTCAATTCCTATTTCATTTCTATACTTAATTCCTAAAGTAGATAGGTATTTATAGGATCCTAAGAACATGAACCAAGTCATTTACATGAAACAAGACATTAATGAGTCATAACCCTTCATCTACATACATTGCACATTTTTTACTACATACATGAACACGAACCACTTCATGCATGTATCATGTATGTGTAGGAATTTAATTATCTAAATCAAGTTTACTTTTCAACAAAGAGAAACAAATAACCAAACAAGAAGAAGAAATCTAATGGGGACAAAATACCAAATATGAACGGAGAGACTTGAACCCAAGACCTCTTTCAACATGAGCTTTGATACCATGTTAAGTCACCAACATTTCTGAAAGCTTAAGGTGATAGGTAATGGGCCCAACATTGTATATCAACATATTCAACAATGACAAACCACTACTATAAATAACCCATTTGGGGGAGCTTATTAGGCATCGAAGTGAGAGTTCATTTGTATAATCACTTGAGAGTATTTTTTGAATACCCACAGTTGAGTGGAGAGAGAGGTGAGTTGGAGCATCTCCAGAGAGATTGAGAGATCATTGTATCTCTTTGAACACTTGTTCTTGTTTGAGAATGAAAAGTATTGTTTGTGGGATTGCCTGGGGATGTAGGCTTAGCAGAACCACGTAATTCTCTGTTATCTTGTGTGATTGTCTCTTTCTTACTATTCTCTATACTTTTGTTTGTATTATTGTTCTCAATATACATAACCATCATCAACCTTGATGTGGTATAGTTTTCTAGAGGCGCACAACATATAGTTAGCCCTAATTGTTTGATTCATGGAGTTAATGTATCAACTAATGCTATCTGTCGCACACTTGCAGTTGCTCTTGGGTTATTTACCGGCTTCTCGAGACTTATGGGAGAAAGAGCTAGGTGAAAATCGATTAAAATACGTGAAGTTAAAAGAGGAGCTTCTCTTGAGTCCTGTAAGATGATTTTGACCATGATCAACTATTTTCACATAGTAAGAATTGCCAATGGTTTACTAGCTAAATTGTCTAGCTAAAGCAATATTTTAGCAATGAATAGTATCAAAATGCTATATTTTAACGATGTTACTCCAATGGTCATTTTTCTATTTTTGGTACAACCAACTTTCCCTCTCCATTTAAACTACCATTTTTTCAACTTCCATTACTCAACCATGTCTTCGTCCCGCTATACACCCTACATTTCTTTTCTTTTCTTTTTTTGTTTGTTTCTTTTTTTTTTTTCTTTTTTTTCCCCTCTTTTTATTGCTCTCTCTACAATTTCTATGCTCCTACCCATTCTTGCTCTACAAAATATTCATTTTGATCTCTCTCTTACACTCAGGTACTTTATTTTTTATGGAAGTGCTATGAAAAATTTTGGAGTTTGAGTCTGTTCAGTATGGCGTTTGAGTTATTGTTGATTTGCTTGATTTTTTAAGTTCACTTTGAAATTTTTGGTTAGGGGAGATAAACCGTGTTTTTGGTATACAATTGGGGAAGATGAAAAGTGTTATTTGGGCAATTTTGTTGGGTTGGCAGATTTATCTATGGCTAAACCTTGTGCCACAACGTATAGCAAATCTAAAAAATAAAGTATTCCTTTTAGCTAGTTATTGAAGAGGGAAAAAATTAAACTTCATGCTATTTTTTGAACAATAGCAACCCTTACACCTCACCATTGCAGAATCTCTTAGGTTGTGCTTGGATTTCCTTAGCTTATATTTCATTCATATTGTCCTTACATTTTCCCTTGCCATTTCCAAATCCCTAATCAAATCAATGATCCAAAAACACCATTAATGGACTATAATTTTGTTGGTGCTGAATTTTTTTGCCCATACACCTCAATATGTAGTATCTCTGGTTGCTGGTAAATATGCACTAATTTAAGGCTTCAATCTAGACAGACAGAATTCTCTCGAAGAAACGGTGAAGTGTTTAATTCTAACCAGCAGTGTGCTGACGGTGATGTTGATGGGCCGCTTGAGCGACAAGACATTTCTAATGAAGATCATCCTCTGAACCTTGGTAAGGCTAGTGTTTGGCACCAATTCTTTCAGGTAAAGATCTTCTCCATCTTTAGGTGCCCAGTTGAAATTCTTGTGTTGTACTAGACAGATGCTCATGGTAACAGATGCATTTTGTTTCCAGTTCACAGAGATTGCAGAGCAGATTGATCGTGACTTGCAACGCACGCACCCAGATATGAAATTCTTCTCTGGGGAATCATCATTGAGTAGGAAAAACCGGGTATTTTAATTTTTTTTTTTTTTTTTTGTGGAAGTGAATTCTGTTAAGATTGTATGTTGTGCCAAAGTCAGAAGTCCCTACAGGGGTAACCTTGTCATGACTGGACTGGACCGTCCAGTCCATACGTTGTTCATTTATGTAGATCATTTACAGAAAAAAATCAGACTGATTCATAATCGCAGCCTCATGATTTCATCATATTTGTTGTCAAAGAAATGGACGATAAGCATGATTTTCATAACTGACTACAAGACAAATAGGATGCAATTATGCTGCTATATTTATTCGATCAAACTAATTTTTTTCATAGATAATCCACACATAAGCCTAGAAATGAGTAGTTTTGATCATCAAATCGGCCACATGGATACCAGACTGGAGAGAATCTAGTCTCTTTTCCCATATCTTGAGCTAATATAAAGATTCTCATTGACTGGATATGTTGGCTGCTTTATTTCTATCTACAGGAAGCAATGAGAAATATTCTTCTTCTGTTTGCGAAACTGAACCCTGAAATCCGTTACGTCCAAGGCATGAACGAGGTTTTAGCACCAATATTCTATGTATTTAGTACCGATACTGATGAACAAAATGCTGTGAGAATTTCTGCGACCTTGGTGTTTCTATTTTTTTTATATTTTTAGTTCTGACTTGAAGAGTAAAATCCAGATATGCTTGTTGTTTTTACATTGAAATCAGTACATTTTGGGGCTAATCTGAACTGAATAACATTACTGTTTATTTTTGTTCCATTATGCAGGCAAATGCAGAGGCCGATAGTTTTTCTTGTTTTGTTCGACTCTTAAGTGACTCAGTCGATCACTTTTGTCAACAACTGGACAATAGTTCTGTTGGTATTCATTCTACCCTTTCTCGCTTGTCAGAGTTATTGAAAGCCAATGATGAAGAACTGTGGCAGCATCTTGAATACACAACCAAGGTAATATAAATGCATATTTGGATGTCTGAATATTTTTCAGAATCCTTGTCACTCAATTTTTCTCATTGTCTATTAAAGTTGTATTTGGATCATGGATCTGGGTAGAAATTTGAAAGAAAAAAAAATGGCAAGGGAAATGTAAAAGAAATATAAGCTATTTTTTAAATTTCTTTTCCATTTCCTTTGGACCTTTTTTTTTTTTTTTTCAAATCCTACTCAAATCCATGATACGGCCTAAAAAGTGTCATACTGTCAACTACCAAAGAAAGTTTGTAATGTTGTCGACAACTTATTTGATTTGAAGTTTGAATTATGAGAAACTTACATTATCGGTCCTAATGAGCAGGTCAACCCACAATTTTATGGATTTAGGTGGATCACTCTGTTGCTTACGCAGGAATTTGATCTTCATTCTGTCATGAGGATTTGGGATACCCTTTTAAGCAATCCTTTTGGTGTTCAGGTTCTCTCTCTCTCTCTCTCTCGGCTCAACTAGTTTTAGGTGGGGTTTGGCAAATGTGTTTTTTGTAGATTTTTTTATGCTTTATTGTTATTTTTTTTTTTTTGGCATTTTTTTTTTAGTTAAACGTAATTTTGCTAAAAAAAAACTAATACATTTGACAAATGGTAAACAAGTTGTCCCTTTGTTATTGGGAAGTTGAGCGGAAAAGTTGTTTATTTCCCATTTTGTCAGCTAAATCAGCCATTGTCAAATGGGCAAATATTTTTTGTAGCTGAAAATAGTCAAGAAGTGGCTAATATGTAAGCTATTGACAAACAAAAGAAGCTCAATTTTTACTCAGTCTAGTTTTCTTCTCATCAGGTTAAAATTTATTCAGCCAATTTGCACCGGTTTATGTGATGCTGATGTATTTGGAGCTCTTTGTGCAGGAAATGCTTTTACGGGTATGTTGTGCAATGTTGCTATGCATTAAAAGCAGTTTGTTGAGTGGTGATTTCATAGCCAACTTGAAGCTTCTGCAGCACTACCCCAAGATCAACATTGAACACCTTCTCCGGGTTGCCAAGGATATCAGCCCTGACACGTCTTCCTTTCATTTGTCACTGTAAATTTTATCTGATGATATACGAAGAGGGGAGGAGGGGAGAAAAAAGCACTTTTATTTGCAAAATGTCTCCCTTGACATTGTTCAAGAATATAACAGAATTTATCGGTAGATTTTGAGTTGATTGCAATATAGGTATAACAATCTCATGAACAGAAGTATGTCTAAGAACCAAAAAATCAAATATAAAACTAGACACGGAAAACACATGAATGGGCTTGATTTTACAAGATTTGTTGGTAGGACTCAATTCTAGACAATTCTGTCTATTCATGTATTTTCTGCATCTGGTTTTGTATTTGGTTTACGTGTTGGTAGGGTTGCAAACGAACCGAGCCGAGGCTCGTTTACTTAGCGAGCTCGTTTATTGAGCTCGAACTTAGCTTGATAAGGAACTGGGTTTGAGTTCAGCTCGGCTCGGCTCGTTAATATTAATGAAACTTAAGTTTGGCTTGATGCTTTGCTGAGCTCGAGCTCGGCTCGTTTACTTAGCGAGCTCGTTTATTGAGCTCGAACTTGACTTGATAAGGAACTGGGTTTGAGTTCAACTCGGCTCGGCTCGTTACTATTAATGAAACTTAAGTTTGGCTTTGTTGGCACATAAATTTCAACTAAATTTATGACACGTATAGAGCCTACGATAAGATTGTTGTAGGCAATCACTTCCCAAAATGATTAACTTGCTCCGTTGAAGTGTATAAATAAAACAACGTCGTATCTTAACGACGTTATTCAAGATGCTCAGATGACACCTGTAGAGCCTACAGCAAGGACACCACACAGGATGAAACCCCAAAGATCAATCCGGTTAATCAGATATATGATTAATCAGATGGCGCTATTATTCAAAATTCAAATAGGCGCTATCATTCAATTTGAAATTCAAAATGAAGATGAAGCATTCCTATCACCTGATGGCCCTCCATAAATATGAGGACCATCACACAAGACCGGGGATCGAAAAAAATCAGAAGTGAAAAGATCAGAGAGGGAGGGAAAAAGAAATTGAGAGCTAAACAATTCGTTACAAGAAAGAAGAGGAGAAGCCTAAAGAACTCAAGAGCCTACGCTAATGGCGATGAATAGGTAAAGGGTTCCAAACCCAAACTGTATTTTGTATTCGAGGGTTCAAAACCCATAACAATCTCAATAAAATATTTATTTATTTTTTTTCTTAAATTGTCTTTTGTTGTTTATTTTGTTCTTCATTAATCGGAGGTTTCATTTGTATAAAATGTCTAATTAACGATCTGAAATACAGATCGGAAATAAGAACCTACTATTCAAATAATCAACACTGTTTAGTCCAAAAACTAAACAGTGGACATTTGTAACATAAATTTTGAAATGTGTTGAAACACTTCATGTTTTAAAATTTGTGTCTACAAATTCTGGCACGCCCAGTGGGACATTATTTCTCCTCCCATCTTTTGAAGAACAAAAATATATATATATATATATAGTAGAAACTTACTGACGTATTCTTTTGTTATAGGAATGCTGAAGCAACTGTTAGGAGACAAACCTACACTCCAGTGGTTCTGAAATCACCAAGGTTGGAGATAACACCCATCACCCAAGGGGCTCAGGAGCGAATGCTCTTGGCTGTCCCAAAGGTAGAGCCAACGAAATCCTGGAAAGATGCACTTCTTTCCCCTGCCACCCAAGGGGCTCCGGAGCGAAAGCTCTTGGTTGTCCCGAAGGTAACTGGTGTGATGAAGAAAGTCACACTTCTCCAGAAAACTGAAAGTTTGAGAAAGATTACTGAAGATTATGTGAAAGCGTCAAAGCAGTACGCAATTGTGAGGGCCACAGCCCGAATGAAGAACTTTCTAATTCAGGCAAAGGAGGCTAATCAGTTTGCAACTGCGACTTTTGTTGCAGCTTCAACGGGGGCAACAAAAAATGTTGTGGCCCAACTACTCAAAAGGGTAGAAGACTCCATTAAAATGGTGGAGTCTGCTCAGAAGAAAGCTTCGTTTGAAAACATGGCCATCATTAGGGCCATTAGGAGGAGGGTAATGACCCAAACTCCTGTTGATGGAAAAAAGGCCCCGTTGTTGAAAAAACAGTTGCTGCCTACGAACCGATAGTTCTGTTCAGAGCACAAAATCGGTCAAACCAAATCTCAGTCAACTCTCAGGAGCCAAAGGAACACTCGTTGGCTCGACAAGGTTTGAATAAGGAACACTCGTTGGCTCGACAGGGTTCAAATAAGGAACACCCGTTGGCCCAACAGAATAAGGAACACTCGTTGGCTCGACAGGGTTCGAATGAGAAACACCCGTTGGCCCGACAGAATAAGGAACACCCGTTGGCCCGACAAGGTTCGAATAAGGAACACCTGTTGGCCCAACGGGATTTGAATCAACATCAATTGACCCGCTCTAAAAATGAAGGGACTGTTTTGAAAATTCATAAGGAATTTACAAAGGCACAAACGGTTCCTTCTGTGCCCTTAGGGGCTCGACTTGATATGTCATCCGGTCCAGTTTCGAAAAGACAAAAGCGAAGAAGAAATAAGGCTTTAAAGAAACTGGAACTAAGAACAGTGGCAACAAATGTTATAGGAGCTATTGAAAGGGCTCTCTTGAAAGATGAACCCCAAAAACAAATTGAAAGTCCTGTCTTTGTTGGAAAATCCAAGGTGGAGGAGGGTAAGCAACCCTTGGGAAATATTTCTACTTTGGTTGAACTATCTATGGAGGGAATAAGAAAAGGGCCTGTAACAAGGTCCATAACCCGTCAAGCTCAAAACAAAGCATCGCAGTCAGATGCTTCAAATATAAGTAATGTTGTGGGAGTTGATAATCCTTTATATGAACAAGATGATTCTATCTCGTTTGTTTCAACAGATATTGGAAACAATGAATTGAAAGATATCAACAAAGTCGCAGTTATGATGATTGAGGTTGAGAAAGAAGGTGAAAATTCGCAGGTCCAACAAGACCAAGGTCTCAAGGAAAAAGTGGTGGCCCTACAAGAACAACTTGAGAGAAGAAAAACCAGAGAGAGATATATATGATATCAGAATGGCGCATTATTCAAAATTCAAATAGGACGCTATCATTCATTTGAAATTCACAAATGAAAGATCGAAGCATCCTATCAACCTGATGGCCCTCCATAAATATGAGGACCATCACACAAGAACCGGGGATCGAAAAAAATCAGAAAGTGAAAAGATCAGAGAGGGAGAAAAAAGAAATTGAGAGCTAAACAATTCGTTACAAGAAAGAGAGGAGAAGCCTAAAAGAATCAAGAGCTTAGCTAAATGGCGAAGATAGGTAAAGGGTTCCAAACCCAACTGTATTTTGTATTCGAGGGTTCAAAAACCCATAACAATCTCAATAAATATATTATTTATTTTTTTTCTTAAATTTGTCTTTTGTTGTTTATTGTTCTTGAATTAATCGGAGGTTTCATTTGTAAATAAAATGTCTAATTAACGATCTGAAAATACAGATCGGAAATAAGAAACCTACTATTCCAAATAATCAACACTGTTTAGACAAAAAACTAAACAGTGACATTTGTAACATAAATTTTGAAAATGTGTTGAAACACTTCATGTTTTAAAATTTTGTGTCAGTACAAGATTCGCACTCAGCTCGAACATTTTTTTATACTTATTAAATAAAAATATGTATATATTTATATATAAATATAATTTAATATATTAATTTAAATAAAAGATAAACAAGCCGAGTTCAAGCTTAGCTCATTTATTAAACCAGCCAGCCTCGAAGCCCAGCTTTGTTTTACTAAACGAACCGAGCCGAGCTGAGTCCGAAGTTTTTGAACGAGCTGAACGAGCCTTTGTTCATTATGAACAATTTCAATTTATTTACACCCTACATGTTTGCTAGGATTATTGCATGAGAATGGATGAAAGGGTCATGATTTGGGCAATTGAGTAAAGCTCTAACTTGTCTTTGAATTTCCATTTTTTCCACACGTATGGAAAGTTTGCAATTTAAACTGAGATGTCCTGATATTTTACTCCATCACGCATTGAGTCTAACTACTACTATATTCACGTGGAAGCTACACCATTCCACCTCATATAAGGCATTGTGTAATGCACAAAGAAGGGGAAAACCAATGTGAAAAAGTTGTGTGAGGTTGTTGAGATTGCCATACAAAACTGCAGGTTTTTAAAGTAGGAGAGTGTTGACAGGGGCATCCCAGCTGCTTCCCAGCTCTGACCTTGCATTTGCTTGGCTCTAACTTCGAATATGTTCGATTCACATTATTTGTTTGTGGGATGAAGTTCCACTATCTCACCTAAATTTTAATATGGTGTTAAAAATAATTTTAACTTTTTATAGGATTTGTGAATTTGAACCCATGGCAATCTATTGTGATCTACATGTAGAATCAAGTTCTCCTATGTTATGTAAAATCAATTGATGTTGGGAATAAGAAGGTGGATGCTAACATAAATCGTTGCAACTCTACCACATAACAAACCAAAAAAAAAAAAGAAGGCAAATATTTATCAGCAAAAATAGATAATCATATAATCACAAAAAATGCTTAAAAGAAAGTGCATACTTATATATATATATATATAATATTGGAATTTTATGTTTTAGAGTGTTTGGTGCAATTTTTGGCTTAATCAACTAATTAGAGTAAAAATAGTTTAAAAAAAAAAAGGGGGGGGGGGTTTGATTTTGTTTGGTAAACTATTTTCGTTTTCAATTTTCAATTTTTAAAGTTTTCAGTTCATATTTATAAAATTTAAAAAAACTGTCAATAAAAACCTTGTTTGATAATTTTTTGGTTTATAAATTGGTTGTCTCAGTTTTTAATAAATTTGAGAAAAAAAAAGTTAATAACTCAAAAAATGAGTTTACCTTGGTTTTTTTAAATACAAATTTAAAAATTTGATACAAAATCTTTTTTTTTTTCAAACTAATTTTTTTTAAATTAATTTTTTTCCAATTATAAAATGTGGTATGATCCTCATTGTCAATAATTAATAAGAAAAAATAAATATAAATATTTTAGGTTTGAACAACATATTTTTTGGTTTATGTTTAAAAATTTTCAAAATATTTTGGTCCACCATCGGGTTTGTAATTTAATGTTTTTCTAAAAATAAACAAAAACCATATTTATAATTTTTTGTAAAACATAAAACTAAA